TAAATAATTTTACTAGTCGATTAATTAAAAATGAAATTTTTGGACTTGAAATTTGGGTCGTTACAGATGAAATTAATAAACTTATTTATTGAGGGTTGAAAACCCTATAAGCTCACCAGGCTTCCAAGCCTGACCCACTCAATTACTTGTATTACAGGTAGTTGCACAAGAGCATAGTTGGATGACTTGTCGAGAGAATTATGGATTATAGGCATGTAGACATAAATAAATGTTGTAAAGCCTATGTTGTTTTTGTTTTATGCTTTTGATCTGTATTGACGATGACATTCCGAGAATTGTAATGTAATGAAAATACATTTCTTCGGTAATACTTTGATAGATTCTTATCCATATTTTTTGGGAACAAATTCCGCAACATATTTCTTTAAAAGGTATACTCTGATTTTCAAGTAAAGCATAAACACACTAGTCTCTTCTGGCTGTGAAATTGGGGATGTCACATGGGTTAATAATTGGTGGAATATTAGGCAATACGAACCTTTTTTGAATGATATTGAAGAAAAGAGTATTCTATAAAAATTCATAGAATTAGAGGAACTCCTCTTCTTAAAGGAAATGATTAAGGAATACCCGGAGATACATCTACAAGATAGTCGTATAGGAATTCACAAAGAAACAATCCAATTAATCAAGATACACAATAAGGGTCGTATTCATACGATTTTGCACTTCTCGACAAATATACTCTTTTCATTATTCTAAGTGGTAATTCTCTTTTGGGTATTAAAGAACTTGTTATTCTTAACTCTTGGGTTCAAGAATTCCTATATAACTTAAGTGACACAATAAAAGCTTTTTCTTTTCTTTTATTAACTGATTTATGTATCAGATTTCATTCGCCCCATGGTTGGGAACTGATAATTGACTTTGTCTATTAGGATTTTGGATTTGTTCATAATGAGAAAATTATATATGGCATTGTTTCCACTTTTCCAGTCATTCTAGATACGATTTTCAAATATTAGATTTTACGTTATTTAAATCATGTATCTCCGTCACTTGTAGTGATTTATCATTCAATGAATGATTGAAAAATTATCTACCTAATCCATTTACAATGTTTCTTACTTTGTAGTTGTACATAAGCAAAGCATTGAAAATTGTATTCACTCTTTATCTTTTTACCCATCCACAAGTTATTATCCTATATATTAATCCAGTCAAATTATTCCAGTAAATAACATAACCATGGATATGAAACTTCATTAGTGACCTACCCCGATTTATTGTATAAATTTTCGGGATCAATGGTTGGACCATGCAAACTAGAAATAATTTTTCTTGGATAAAGGAACAGATTACTGGATCTATTTTGGTATCACTCATGATATATATATATATCATAACTCGTGCATCCATTTCAAATGCATATCCCATTTTTGCACAGACGGGTTATGAAAATCAACGAGAAGCGAATGGACGTATTTTATGCGCCAATTGCCATTTAGCTAATAAACCAGTGGATATTGAATAGTGCACCAAGTTGTTCACAAGGACCAGCTTAATCCTCTTCCCCAAGGATCCCCGATAAGGGAACCCTAGGAGAGTCGCCGACTCCAACTACCGTCCATGTACGATCCATACTAGATCTGACCAACTGCCCATCCTACCTCCTCTACGTTCTTGACATTCTTGACAGCCCATCATTGTCTTAGTAGAGTATTTCAGTGGCAGGTTTCGATCCTCTTCCCCATTACTTAGAAAAAGTGAGCCACCAGTTCAGGTACAAGATACTATCATTACTGCCTGGAGAATTAGACATCCAACCTGTAATCGAAACGACCAAATTACAAGAGTGGAGCTCTACCAACTGAGCTATATCCTCTAAGCCAAGTGGAGAATGCATGAAGGAATCAGGTGTTTCTTCTATTCTTTTCCTTGGCACAGTTGGGCCATCCTAAACTTGAACTAGAGACCTCGCCCGTGAAGTAAATCATCGCACCTACGATCCAACTAATTGGGAGAAAATCAGTAGATTCTTTTTTGGGAGCGATTCATCCTTCCCAAACGCAACATACTCTCCGTTGTACTGCGTTCTCTGAGTGTGCCTTCCCCCTCCTTCTTCCTTACCATGGGAAGTCTTTGTGAAATAACTCCATTGAGAAGAAGAAAAAAGCGTTAATAGACCCTCCTAGCCCAACCCTAGGTACTCTAAGATCCTTTTTCAAACCTGCTCCCGTTTCGAGTCAAGAGATAGATAAATAGACACATCTCATTGCATTGATTGTGGGGTTCGTAGTGACTGGGGGGGTCGAAGACCAAGAAACGAGTTATTTATACCAAGCATTCTTCTTACGCCTAGATCCAATCTCCTGATCCATACAGAAAAGAAATAGAATTTCAAACTCTTCCTTTCTGTAAAGGGGGGGGGGGGGATTAGGGAAATCCTATCGATTTCAGCTTTCTCCGAACATCGGGGAAAAGCATGAAAAAAAAAAGGCTTGAATGGTATAATCCATCTGTCACCCGAGAATGAAAGGGGTGATCTCGTAGTTTTTGGTCTATGAAGATGCATTGTTAGGTGCTCCACTTAGTTTTTTTTTGTTATTATTATTATTATTATTATTATTATTATTATTATTTAACTTAGATTTATTCGAACTTTATATATGATAAACACTTTGGGAAAAAAATTACAATGATAAAAGAAAAAAGTTCGACAACACAACATGACCTTTGTGACAAATTTATAAGTAGATATTTAATTACAATAGTTGTATAAAAAATCATAATATTGTCTTATATTTTTTTTTTACCAAATTTTATAAAACATTATTTAATGTAGTATTATTAATTTTTTAGAAAAATATTTATAGCCAGTTTCTAACTGATTTAATTGAAAAAGTAAAATTAAAGTTTTCATTAAAAATCAAATTTCATTTTATGTGTTAAATTCTTTTATCCTTAATTGTAATGTTTATATATAACTTCGTAACCAAAGTTTGTTGGTTTTTATCAAATATATACGTTAATTTGTACAATTTTATTTTCACTTTTTACGCAATAATAGATAAAAGTTGATTTACATTTGTTAATTATCTATCATAAAGTCTAAAATTATTGAAGAACTCTTTTAAGTTTAAAATAAAATCAGTTTAATAAGATTTTAGTTTATTTTACCAGTCTGCAGATGCAAAAAAAAAAACAAACAAAAAAAAAACAAAAACAAAAACAATAAAACAATAAAACAAACAAATAATTTTTTTTCTTTACGACGGCGAACATTTGGTCCACCTGCAGATTTCTACAGAGTTGATCTGCAGACTACAAAAATTCAATCTCAGAAAAAACACAACATCTTAATTATTTGGGTCTTATAACGGTTTAATAACACTAAATCATTCAATTTTTATTAAACGACCCTTAAGTATATTTTCCGGGATTACACTCATGGTTTTATTTTATACTGGTAAAATTTTGCTACTAATGTTATGTTTGGTGTACTATCCGGAAAACTGGTTGTTAGCTGAAAAACTAGTTAATAGCCGAAAAAATAACCGATAAAAACTAACTTTTGGTAAAACTAATTGAAAAACTAACTAAAATAAATATAATGACATAAAAGGACATTTTAAATAAATGTGTTTCTGTAATTAATTAACGGTATGTTTGGAAAATTTTAAAAAAAATCATAAAAAATTTAGTTTAAGTAGGTTTTTAAAAAACTAGCTTATAAGGTAGCTTATAAACATGTTCGAAAAATAAGTTAGTTTATCAGCTAACTTTGATGCACTAATCATAACGAAAAACAAAAGGGAATATTACTTATTAAAGTAATTAACTTTTCTGTTTGTTTATATATGAATATCTATTTTTTATACACATCTATATAACGAACTTGTTCCAACAAGTTTTTTAGGTGTAAAACAAAATAGTTATCCAAATATAAATAATAAAAAGTAAGAGTAAATTACACGAATGATCCATGTGGTTTGGGGAATTTGTACGTTTAGTCCTGAACTTATTTTTTTTTAACTTAGATGGTTCTTACTGTTTATTTTTCTTTCGTGTTTGGTCTCTATCTTACCTAAAAAGATTATTGTACCAATATTAATTTATTTTTTAATTAATTTTCTTATTTATGTATTTATCTTTTATATATTTAAAAAAATTAATAGACCCTGCATATTTGTACCTCATTATCCTAAACCTGAAATCACATTTGAAAAATTTACTCTAGCTCACACCGGTCGTCATCCCATCTTTCATCTTTCTCGACTTGTATGTTCTTCTCATCTTCAGTGACATCAATGTCTTCAACATCATTTCTTTTTTCGGGTTTAGAGGGATTCAGCATCCAGACGACATGTCGTCGGTATTACTTACACCTATCCAAACGACACGTCGTCGTTAAAAGTGACCTTTATACTGGCGACATGTTATCTGAACAGGTTTATAATAATTTTTTTTCAAGAAAATCAGTCCCGACGATGCTTTGACGAGGACATTTCGTCTGCATTGGTTGCTCTGTACCGACGATATTTTCCACTTTTACTGACGGGACTATCCAAATGACTTTTTATAGACGACAAGTATAGGCTTTGCCAACGACATGTCGTTTGCTTAGCCGCTGAAAATGTCGTCGGTATAGACCTCATTCCTTGTGGTGTATCTAAGGAAGCCATTAATTTAATAAAGACCACAACTTCAATAGCAAACACAATACTAATGTAATGGGCAGAACTAAGAAGTAGGATGCATGTTATAATACATATATAAATAAATAAAAGTATATTACTATTTCCTTTATTTATCTTTAACAAAACATAAAACTTTGACAATGATCTCATATGGTCAAACCGTCAGTATCCAAACATGTATATGACAATTAATTACGCATTTCAGAAATCTAGACAATATTTTGCATCGTAATAATTGAATTATTCATGTTTTTAAATACAACTTTTTTTTTTAGTTAATAATATATATATACATGCATGAGAGCATGCAATTAAGAAAGCTATTTGAGTCGGTCATAATTAAGTATACTGCCCAGCAAGACCACCGATTGCAGCCAGCTGCATGCTTTCCGATGGTTTCCAATGCCGCTTCCTTTGATTTATAAACCAGTTGTTGATTTGCTTCGGATCTAATCCTGTTGTTTCCGCCAAGGATATCTTATCACCTTCCTACATTTACATTTATTATTATTATTTTGATTATATATATATATATATATATATATATATATATATATATATATATATATATATATATATATATATATATATATATATATATATATATATATATATATATATATATATAACAAAATTCAGGTAAACCAGTTAAAAGACTACTGTAGCATTGATATATCCAAATACAAAGCAATTTATGATTATAACTAAAATGGTCAAAGCAATATGTAAGAGCTCAAGGCTATAATTTAGTAGAGACCTTTTCAAAAGTACAACGTCTTAATGAGTGAAAAAAAAAAAAAGAGAAATGAACGTACAATGCTATTGCTATTCAAGCAATAAACAAAAATAGCAAGTTATAATAGATGTTTAAAAGAAAGTACATTGATATTTTTGTATTTAGCCATTTAAAAAAGATATTTTGTTATTTTTTGTTTTTTTAAATACTTGCATCCAATTATATGTATGTACCTCTTAACATTTATGATTACAAGGTATATGTGATTTTGAAAATATACCAACATGCCTTTCCCCTAACAAGGGTTCAAGATCCGTGTATATGTGATATCAGTAGAATGTTGAAGTGGTTTAGAGTGTGTATAAGTCGCATATTTTGAAATAAAAATCCAAACGGTGCGACAATTGTAAAATAATGGCAACACAATTTTACTTCATGTGTTTTTTATTCACTTAATTTTATAATGGTTAAAAAAACCATTAAACTCCCAGAAAGAATCACAATTTCAAACACTATTATGAAAACCATTCAACTTCAACTAAAAATAATCGACCAAGTTCTATAAAGCTGCGAATTTTACATAAAAGACACTATAGTTTAAATTTGTTTCTTTTCATCAGCTGCATATATATATATATATATATATATATATATATATATATATATATATATATATATATATATATATATATATATATATATATATATATTAAAACTTTGAATTTTAAAAAAAAATTAACTAATAAAATAGTTTTCCTATTCTTTTTTTTTTCGGTTCATTGCTACTGACACTACTTACAGCGAGATTTTTTTGAAATGGTTGTTAAACCGAAAAAAAAAAAAAGGCATGATGGTTTTATAGAATTTGGCCAAAATAATCGATGTTAAAATATGGTCATAATTAGTACCAATTTGAAAGTACAGTAACCAAATTCAGTGATATAAAATATTGCTTTAGATTCAATTTGCACTTAAACTTTAGATCAAATTTACTGCTGTGGAGAAAATGGGCACAAAACATTTAATTTGGTAGTTTTGACTATTTAAGATAAGAGGTCAAATCTCTATTTTTTTTTTTCCTCTTGCATATTAATATATCAATTATAGCAAATTCTAGAAATATTCAAATGGATAAATTATATTAATGTAATGAAGGAGGAAGGAAAAAGTACGTAGTAAGAAAAATGGAAATACTTACTGTAGGGTAAGGCCATTTAATATGTGAATTCCACCAATCAAGTAATGTTTGTCTTGCCTCATTTGGAAGCTTTCCTTTCTTTTTCTTCTTATTAAACTCTTGTTTGAGGGAACTTATACGACCTCCAAATTTACGTATGAGTGTGTCTTTCAGCTCCTGGCTCATCAGTGTACTATCTGTCTCTCCTCCGTTTAAATCTTCTTCAGATGAAAATGTACAAACATCTGAACAACAGTCAACTAAATATTAATTGTATCAAAAAAGAACAAGCAACCATATATAAAACAAGATTCATGTTGGATCTACAAATTTAAAATGATTCATTTCCATATATAGTTGCATGATTCATAATGTTATTGTCTCGGAGTTGTTATATGTTCATATTTTTAGAAGACAATCTGGATTCTAGAACTACCCATATATTTAACTCACATTTTAGAGATAACCACAAGAAAGACTACATGATTATTGAGAATATATTAGTAAATGACTACATTTGTGTGATTTCCGGATATTACTATCAAATCTGAAATGAGCATTTTGGAGAATATATATATATATATATATATATATATATATATATATATATATATATATATATATATATATATATATATATATATATATATATATATATCAAGTTTATTTTTTAAGAAATTAAATTGCTTCCTACTTTTTATACTTATAAATATTCCTACTCAATAAAATTATGACATTCCATATTTTTTTAACTAACTCATTAAGATTATATTAAAAATATATTAAATACAATTAAATTGAATAGTGATTTGTGATAATTTTAGTGGGTAAGAATAATTATAGGAATAAAAAGTAGGAGGTAATTTAATTTCTCTTATTTTTTTGATGATTTCATCGATGTACTCATAAAAAAATCTCTATACCCTTTAAATTTAAGAGTTTTTTGTTAAAAAAAAAAGTCTCTTCAGAAATATTTTGATAAAGTCATAAATATTTTTTATTTAATAGAAAAATCTTATTATTTTAGGGAAAAAAAACACATAATTTTTCATTTTCTGTTAAAATAAAAAATAAAATTGTCATTAATTTGTACAAAAGTTAAATAATCGAGAATTTTGTATTCAATTTTTTTTTTACAGTTTATTAAAAATTTGACATGTTTGCTATCATCATTTTTTCAACAAAGATGGCACATTTTCTATGTGACATAAAACAAATCCGAAAGAAAATTAAGTTAAACTAAAATGCAATTTTTCGAGCAAAGTGATCATTTGGGTAAATTCGATTTTTGGGTCATTTCCTTATATTCTCCATAACCATGATGATCCAGCAATTTCTTTGTTTAATTCCAAACAAAATTAACCTCAAATACATCTACTAATAATTAAAATAAACTTGTTATGTGCAATGCTTGAAATATTTTTGTTGGGGGCACTACGTCAAATCTTTTTAAACATACATGCATCGGTCCATGCTCATTATGATATATCGAAGGGTATATCGGCGAATCATACAACTTTACAACAATAGCTAAGCCTAGAAAATTATATAAAAAAAAAAAAAATTAATTAATTAATTATAAACGCATGCCTGCAGGAACGCTCAAATCTTAAAGTACGTATGTATGAGTATGTCTCATGTATTAAATGCTCAATATCATGCATTCTTCAACTGAAATTGCATCTAACTACTTTCGAATAAAAGTAATATAAAGTTAACATTTATATATTTATCACATAAATTTTATTTTGAGATTTATAAATTAATCATGCACATAACTTCATTCATACTATGAGTATAACGCATAGAGCCATTATCCATAGACTCTAATGACCAAAGAACACCTCATACTCGGAATTTAGAATCCAAACTGGACACAATCTAAAGAATAGCAAAAAAGAACTTGAGTCATGTCCTATATCATGTATACGATAGTCACATGCAGATTCTGAAAAGGTGAAACTAAAGATGCATGTAATTCAAAAAGATGCGTTTTAGTCAAATACTTTTCAAGATTTCCATGGGAAAAAAGATGATGGCAATATATGTTCGTATGGACAGAAGGACCAGTGTTCGTTTAGTCGTTTCAGTGTCAGTGTATGTACGAAGAGTAATTGATAGGCCTCACACACGAACAAAAATTTTCAGTTTAAAGAAACCTTTCACGGCGATGGTTACAGAAGACACAAATCTATATATCAGTTTTCTGTTTCATTTTTTTATGATATCATAATCAACTAATTTAAAAAGAAAAAAAAAACAATCTTTTAACTATCACTGGATAAATTTATAAATGATATTGACTTTTGAAATATAATTTTGATAAACCGTGAAAACAAGAAAAACCTATGAAATTATGATATTGCGACATTATAATTTGGAAAAAGAATTTATCCAAACTTTAAACTACATTATGATAATCAATAATTCATGAGAACTTGGTTCATATTAGCAAATCATATTTTTTTGACATTTTAATTATAACAACTTGAATTTAAAAGTGGTTAATAATGTAAAAACAAAAAATTGTTAAAACCATTTTTATATCTATATTACCGTAACACTATTTAATATAAACTTATTATCTTTAGTTTATTCCTAATAAATTTAATTTTTAAAGTACATGTTATTGATTTATAATATAAAATTTGTTTTCATACTTTTACAAAATATTTATGTTTTCGCATGATATATATATATATATATATATATATATATATATATATATATATATATATATATATATATATATATATATATATATATATATATATATATATATATACACTTTAATAAAAAGAAGTAGAGGCAAAGGTCTTGATATCTTGCCTTCGGGACTCATGACGGTGAAGAAAACAAAAAGACAAAATAAAAAACAAACCAGACAAAAGTAACATTTTAGAAATTTCGAAATTGTGAGGGTAAAAATAATATTTTATAAAATAAAATAATGGAAAATATTATTTTACAAAGTAGTTGGATAAAAGTGTCATAAAAATATTCATCGACATTACTAATTGATATATAGTCAATCCTAAATATTTATTTAAGTTAAAATAAAAGGTATAATTATGTTTTATATATTTGTGATGGAAAAACCGGAGGTTCATATAAAAACCAACCAACTCATATGTACATGTTTATACTTTTAACAAATATTTTGGTAATTTTAGATCACTGAGTTTATCTAAGACTCATTCTAATAGATGCACATACCTAGTCTTTTATATGTAAATGCATTCCAATGAATTATTAAACTCAAAATAAAAATTATAGTATAAAACTGTTCAATATTCATCACATTAAAACATCTTTTTTTAAATTGTTTAATTATTTTTTATAACTTTTACAAGTTTAATAATTATTATATTTCATATTATAATAATAAAATATGTTTTAGTATAATTTGCTAATGTGTGGGCGAATAGAAAAAATATTTTGATCTTAAAAATACACAAATTTAGTTTGATTTTTTAGGGGAATGGTTGAAATTGCTCTAAGTATACCCGAATAAACACTTTTACTCTCTTCCATTGATAATGAAGGTTGGTTTTCAACTTAAGAGTATCATGAGCATGGTCCATTATATATTGAGGGTGTTATTACTGTCAAGCCAATAATAAGCTCTTTATTGGAGGAGAAATTAAAATTTTTTTTATTTTTTCTTCTTAATTATCCTTCTACCCATATGAAATGGTAACAAGTATCATATTTTGATTAAATTATTATATTTTAAGACACTTGTCATTATTTCACATGTATTGATAAGTATGAATAAAAGTATAAAGATATTTAATTTCTCTTATTGGAAATTTAATTGCTTTAAACATATCTACTTGATAATCACTACTAGAAACATGACCTTTAGCGACGGAATCAGCTACGGATTTTGTATGTAGCTAATTAGTGACGGCTTACAGAGGGATCAACGACGGCACACATAAATATTTCGACCAACATACTTATAGACTTTTATAGATGTATTATTGAGCGATTAACGACTGAACTGCAAGAATTTATCGACAAAAATGGGCACTTCCCCAATCGGTCGCAAATTAAAAAAAATTTAGTGATGGAACAACGACGGACTATTAAAAATCACACACTCTTTTTTTTTTAATCCCTCGCCAATCATCGATCACAGAAAATGGACGCCTCCCTTTTTATTCATTCCCCACTTTTCTTTCCCTCGTTTTCTTTTCTTTCCATGCTTTTATTTTCATTCCTAAACTCTAAACAATTTTCTCCAAAAGCCCTAATCGACCTCTGTCGACTTAAATTCCTCCTTCGCCCGGAAAATCACCTCCACTACCGTCTACCTGCGCGTCCCTCTTTGAAGTATACTTGAAAATTACAAGAAAACCTTATAAATCACATCCTCGCTTTCTTTCCTCTCGGTCCATTTGCTTTCCTCGTTGAGTCGTCATTCATCAGTTATCGTAAACCTTCGTATTCTGGTTTCTTGTTGTCTGTAAGTTCCATATTCATGTAGCTCTCTTACTTCTCTTTCATTTTAGATCAAATCAGAACTCGTTTTTCTAAGCTCTGCCTTCCTCAACTCGTTAATTTTGGTTTTCCTAGGGTTTTCTTGGTGCTTACATACATTTTGTTTTTGCTATTATAATTTAAAGCTCTCGCAGATGAAATTGTATGATATTGATTGGTACCGGGTGTAGGCATTTGACAAGGGGCTCAATTTCAAAACGACAACAATACATGGAGTGGCCGGAAGATGTGTCATCGAAGAAATTAACAACTACACCACTCATGTACTCGACTTTGGCAAACAAACATCTCAGTGTAATTAAATTTACAAAATTTAGTCATCTAATTCTTTGTTTCTAGATTTTATCAACTTTGAAGATGAAAAACATTATGAAATATATGCAGATAATCTCATAAAAGCACTGCTCTTTCTTTCTTATTTCATGGGAGATATTCCTCATGTATGTGATAGTAACCAATTTCACTTTATTATCTAACAAGTTAAAAGACTAAATTGCCCCTGTTACTGTCACAACATGTAGGATTCACTTCTGATAGAGATGGGAACATGATCAATGTTCATATGTAATCTAAATTAAGATTTCTTGTTAAACTAATGATTAAAAATACATACAATACGTTATACAGGTTTGGGATGACAGCATAACTGAGACTGCAGAAGAAATATTCTATAATTCTGATGTTGAAAATCTAGTCAAAGCTATTTAGACCAACATAATGGTATTTTACATATTTACTT